TTCGAGAATAAGTTTTTCCATATCCCTGAGGGGGGGCCACGATAATCACTTATTTCAATATGCTGATGATACTATATCTTGACAATAACAAAGTTTGGGAAAAAACCATTGTAGGTTTTTTTATACATAGTCGAAGTCTTCTCTAAGGATCAAAGATGGCCTCGAACGGAGAGTATCATCTGGGACGGTTCCCTCGTCAGTGAATTGAAATTTCAATTGAATTTAATTAAACAGATATTCAGAATGCAAAGACGCTGTTGTTGTATTATAAATAGCCGCTTTTTCTCCTTCTGTATTTACAAAAAAAAGATAGATATCGCTTACGAAACGTGATATAAGAGTGCTTTTTATCTAAAAAGATACCATTTATTCTGTTTGCATCATGCTTTATCTATTTTTTTAAATATTGCTCATTCCCATCGTCGTTCACACATCAACAGTATAATGTCATATATACTGTAATCCACATATGACTGATGAAAGAAGTATTTTGGAAGAAGATTCAGATGTTATTGAATCCTACAAATGATGATTTATTTTCTTACTTATAATTGGTGGACACACTTGTTGATCAATCATTGACACTGGATAACAAACAGGATGTGAAGAGCATCGAGGATGATGAACACAAATATGATGAGGTTCATCACATAAATTATCTGTCGATTCACATGGAGTTAGCTTAGAACAAAAACCGTAGAGAAAACCACAAATGCCAACATTGTTGGCACCTGCCATATGAAGACAGCCACATGCACTATTCATCGAACATCGACCATACTGAGTAGTATTTGGGCATAATTGACCGTTTACGTGAACTATTGTTATACTAAATGAATTCAAGAACATAAGAATGAAACAAAGAATCAAATCTATGAGATTTAGATTGAAATGGTTTCGCGTTAGATGAATAGAAAAATAAAGAGTATTACAATTACCTGAAAAGAATGACGATGCAATAAAAGATCGCTTTTAGAACCATGATTTATATTGATTTGCAACAGAATTGTGATGTTATCATCTTTTTTTTATACCTGATACACAGGTGTGATTCTTTCTATTCTTTGAAAATAAGAAAGCACATGACATAATCTTCGAATAAATGAAGATTTGATCTTCTTTCATTACTCATTTTTTTCAATTAAAACTAATCTTCATTAAAAAAATAGCTTAACAAAAATCAATATTTCTCGAATATAGCACTAAGAATATGCAATATATCTATAGTTTTTTGTATACCCAAAAAGTGAGTACACTACTAAAATCGGTCTGTGTGTCCGTCCGTCCGGTCGTCCGTTTATCCGATAACGCTCGAGAAGTTTGAGCAATTCACAAAAATAATATAGATTTCTTCCGTTATAACTTGTTTCATATGGAGGCAAGACATGTTGCAATACCATGCGATCGCTCCATGAGATAAACTGACCATCTCCACATGACCAATAACGAATTGGTGTCATATGCTCATCACATTCTATATTTCGTGGATTTGTCGGACACCAATATCCTGTATGTAATCCATATCTTTCATCTGTCCAATCCATACAGTCTGATTCAACTAAAAAATATTTAATTTGTCAAAAACTATTCGTATCGTTTAAAACGAGAGACTTACTCGGATATTTATAGCCATCCGTAATATTAAAAGGATCTAAAACTCCATCAAGCCAAAAATCTTCAGGAATACACATTCCATTATCACATCGATATTCGTCTTCTTCACATTCATTGAATTCAAGTAAATCGCATTTAAATGCTAGATTAATCCTAAAGTGTACGCTTAGAATAACCTTGCCAGGCTTCAGATAATTTTGAAAGGGATCTGACGAATGGATATTCCTCAATGAAAATATTCGAAAAGGTATCATTTTGTTGACAAGAGAGAAAAGAATCGGTTTATCGCTGGAAGACACAAGCGAATGTTCAAACTTTTCAAGTAGTGTACTGTATATCGTCCGTCTATGAGTGACTTAGTAAAGCATTTATGAAAGTTTCCATGGGCGTAATGTGAAAATAGAAAAACAGATGACAGAGGTCAATGGTTGGCCGTGAGTGGCCGTCTGACTAGCCGTTGAGCGATGAAGTTTTTAGTCAATATAGTGAGTGCTGGAGAATTACCCACTGACAAATGGCTAATCGGTCTGATTCCTAAAAAGACTTTTGCATCCTATTCATTCCAGTTCTAGTGTCTGACATAGTGACATGATTCAGTTGAGCACTAGTAGTAATCGCAGTGCGTTTTTTCTCTTTCAAAGTCTCTGAATGTGTTCAGCACTCGGAAAAGTCTTTCAGAAAAGGGTCAGCGAATCCA